ACACACACACGAGACACACACACGAGACACACACACGAGACACACACACGAGACACACACACGAGACACACACACGAGACACACACACGAGACACACACAGGAGACACACAACGTCCCTTACACCACACAGAGACGAGAGCAGAGGCGGCGACATGCGTCCGGCAGACTGACACGGAGACTGACTCTCTCCGAGGAACCTTGTCTGGTCACTTTCTGGTTTTAGGAAGCGTTTTGTGGAGTGACTCCACTTCTGTATTGTGTCCTTCTATTCTGGAGGGTAGACCTGGTGTCAGACTGTGTGCACGTGGTAACAAAGCCGGATAGAAGAGAGTAGATGGAGGTTCAGTTCTTCAACCCTTGGGGTGGTATGGTAACAGCAAGGGTAACATGATGCAACAGTCTGTGTTTGGCCTACAGAGAGGGACGGGGGCGATGCATCTCGGCAACAGAAGAAGGCTTTCCAATCTATCTGACCACTTTCCCTACACAGCAAGCCTCTGCCAGCGGCGCAAGTGTGGTTTGCTGCTACCCCATGAACATTGGATGGCCGTATTGGGTGGTGGCAGCTGGTGCCCCATGGATACTGGATGGTTGTATTGGGTGGTGGCCGCTGGTGCCCCATGGACATTGGATGGATGTATTGGGTGGTGGCCGCTGGTACCCCATGGACATTGGATGGATGTATTGGGTGGTGGCCGCTGGTACCCCATGGACATTGGATGGATGTATTGGGTGGTGGCCGCTGGTACCCCATGGACATTGGATGGATGTATTGGGTGGTGGCCGCTGGTACCCCATGGACATTGGATGGATGTATTGGGTGGTGGCCGCTGGTACCCCATGGACATTGGATGGATGTATTGGGTGGTGGCCGCTGGTACCCCATGGACATTGGATGGATGTATTGGGTGGTGGCCGCTGGTACCCCATGGACATTGGATGGATGTATTGGGTGGTGGCCGCTGGTACCCCATGGACATTGGATGGATGTATTGGGTGGTGGCCGCTGGTACCCCATGGACATTGGATGGATGTATTGGGTGGTGGCCGCTGGTACCCCATGGACATTGGATGGATGTATTGGGTGGTGGCCGCTGGTACCCCATGGACATTGGATGGATGTATTGGGTGGTGGCCGCTGGTACCCCATGGACATTGGATGGATGTATTGGGTGGTGGCCGCTGGTACCCCATGGACATTGGATGGATGTATTGGGTGGTGGCCGCTGGTACCCCATGGACATTGGATGGATGTATTGGGTGGTGGCCGCTGGTACCCCATGGACATTGGATGGATGTATTGGGTGGTGGCCGCTGGTACCCCATGGACATTGGATGGATGTATTGGGTGGTGGCCGCTGGTACCCCATGGACATTGGATGGATGTATTGGGTGGTGGCCGCTGGTACCCCATGGACATTGGATGGATGTATTGGGTGGTGGCCGCTGGTACCCCATGGACATTGGATGGATGTATTGGGTGGTGGCCGCTGGTACCCCATGGACATTGGATGGATGTATTGGGTGGTGGCCGCTGGTACCCCATGGACATTGGATGGATGTATTGGGTGGTGGCCGCTGGTACCCCATGGACATTGGATGGATGTATTGGGTGGTGGCCGCTGGTACCCCATGGACATTGGATGGTTGGATTGGGTGGTGGCAGCTGGGGCCCCATGGACATTGGGTGGTGGCCGATGGTGCCCCATGGACATTGGATGGTTGTATTGGGTGGTGGCCGCTGGTACCCCATGGACATTGGATGGTTGTATTGGGTGGTGGCCGCTGGTGCCCCATGGACATTGGGTGGATGTATTGGGTGGTTTGTAGGGTTATCAGTGTCCCTAAGGTCTCTGATAATAGAAGATTAGGATGATGGGTAGTAGAAGTAGACAACCTATATCAGATGTTTCTCTGAAGATAGAACAGGAAGAGAAGCCACAGGTCATGATCTGTGATGAGTGAGCTGATAGAGAACAGACGGGCCCATTGTGTTCCTGGCCTTCCCTAATGTTGGTACTCTGCAGCTTCACATGTATGAAGGGACCTGGAGACCAGGAAGAAGAACATATGTATTCCTCGCAATGAAACATGGCGTCACCTTCTGCTTCCCTATGAGTAATGGAGGATTCCGGCTGCACAGGAAGGAGGAGAAGGTGCTCCCCGTCATGATGAATCAGTGTACACGGAGCTCAGGACGCGGTGAGGTTAGTAACCCCAACAAGCAGGTCTGAGAAGAGTGATGTGTCTGTATCAGCGGGGGTCTTACCATAACTTCTGTCTCTATACCCTAGGGGTGGACCCAATATTCTTCCTTCTGCTCCTCTCTGTGGATCCCACCCGATGAAATGGCTCCTCCAGTCCTACATGACATATAGCCCCCCCAGGCACCCTGCTTAGTGCTATGTACGTGTCCCCAATAATCTAAGGCAGCGTGAAGACCCTCCATACATTCCACGTACCTGCAGTGCACTGCTGACGAATCCGAGACCCAACTGCTGGCAGGCAACATTGGCCTCTCTGCTTCCCCAGCCTTCTCCACACAGCAGACCCCAGCGTTCTTGTCCTCGAGGTCCCCATAAAACCTCCACCCGCCCCTCATGCTGGGATCTCCCCCCTTGCAGGCGGATCTGAGAGTTAAGGGAGAAGGAGCCACATTGAGAAGAATGACGCTGCGGCACATACGACTCCATCTTTCCTTACCTCGGGCTCACACATCACAAGTGGAAGGTTTTCTCAGGCTGAAGATGGGAATTGGTCTTGTGGAGGACTCTGGACATGGACCTCCCTGGGCTCTATCTACCCCCCCTCCCCCCCCATGGCTTTAGTAATCTGTCAATGTTCTGCAAGTCAGAGGATTGAAGCATCGCCTGTGGGGGAGGAATACTTCCTACCAACCAACCTTCCATCCTAAGTCCAGATCATGGCACTGAGAACCTGACTAAGGGACCTCTGTGCTGGAGGGATTGGACTCAGGACCTCTGTGCTGGAGGGATTGGACTCAGGACCTCTGTGCTGGAAGGATTGGACTCAGGACCTCTGTGCTGGAAGGATTGGACTCAGGACCTCTGTGCTGGAAGGATTGGAGGGATTGGGCTCAGGACCTCTGTGCTGGAAGGATTGGACTCAGGACCTCTGTGCTGGAAGGATTGGAGGGATTGGGCTCAGGACCTCTGTGCTGGAAGGATTGGGCTCAGGACCTCTGTGCTGGAAGGATTGG